CTCCTCCCAGTCGTCGTAGACTCCGGGAACCTTACCCTTGTACACGACATACGACGGCATCTCTATGCACAAGCCAAACAACAGACAATACATAAGCAATATGTAAGTATGCAACAAAAGGATCGGAAGAGAAAATCAAGACATTAATAGCACGATTCATGGTCCTACTAATAAATAGTATCGATTACATCTAAGTTGAACGACTCTCCAAACCAAAGAGACATACGAATTCATTAAAGTTTAATTACAACATGAGCTAATCAATGTTCCAGAACTACACATCACTACTTTCGACTTGACTCATGGGACAGGAGCATGGATGAAGCCGTCGTCTGTCATGATGGTCATGAAATTGCGGTCGTTGTCAGCCTGCATTTGTAGCGTTCCGTCTATCTCACTGTTGGACGGTTGATATCTGAGGAAGAACTGCCCCGAGGTGTCCGCAAACTCCGACTGGATGCGAAAGAATTCTTGTCTGATGTCCGCGTCCTGGATTACCGACAAGCTCGCGGCCCAATCTTTGAGATTATCTGGTAGCAGAAGGTGATGATGGTCCCTTACGATCGCCCGCATGTGATGGAGGGCATAGTAGGCATCCTTCTGACCGCCAGGAGGCTGCTTGACGCAGCAGAACTTCGTATTGTGGGAGAACATGTGCTTGCCGTACTTATGAACTGCCCTGGTGAAGGTGCCTCCAGATTTGGCGTTGCCGGGGAGAACATCATCAAGAACTTTCTTGACATTTGTGTAGTCTATCTTGGAGTTATGGTTCGGGTCGAAATACGTGGCCATGGAATATTTCGGGCTTAAGAGGATGAGTGTGCAATGTGTGTCACTGCACAGAACACAGAATGTTAGAAAAAAGAACGATCGAAATCTAAGAAATCATATGTTACGGGGCGGTTAAGGGATGACTTACTCGGGAAAGTAAGCCACAAGGAAGTTATCCTTATCTGGGTTTGCCAGAATGACGCCTTCGAGGTGTGAACTCGCGACTTGGCGGTCCCCAGCGCTGCTCAAGAGCTTGGCACACATGTAGAAGGGGTCGACTATCATGATGTCCGGGGTCTTGTCTCTAATGATCCGCATCTCCTTATCCGTGTGCCAACGCAGGAGCTTTGCTACCTTAGGGTCCGCGAAATACCGCTGCAGACGAGGAGTGATCGGAAAGTACCACACCAATTTTCGAGGAGTTTTCTTCCTCTTCTTGTATCGAGTGACGCCGCACACCGGACATATGGTAGACTCCGGGTGCTCGTCCTGATAAATGATGCAATTGTTCATGCACACATGGTATTTCACGTGCGGTAAATCCAGAGGACACACGATTTTCTTCGCCTCCTCGAAACTGGCCGGGCACTTGTTCCCCTTGGGAAGACGTTCGTGCCAGAATGACATGTTCTCGTCGAAGCATGCGTCGGTCATTTTGTGTTTTACCTTCATCTCTAGAGCCATGAGCGTTACTTTCAGGCGGGTATCCTCGGGTTTGCATCCTTCATACAATGGAGTGACCGCGTCTATCTCCAGTTGATCCAGCTTGGCTTTCTCTCGGGCGGCAGCTCTTGCGTTATCCGTCTGCTTGAGAAGCAGCTCTTGAATATGAGGGTCCTGCACCCAGCCTCCATCGTCGTGTGCTCCGACAACTTCATCTTCATGATCATGCCCTTCGTCTTTATCTTCCTCATCATCATGTCCGCCATTTTCTACATGATGGCTGTGTACAGCATCACCGTCGTGATCATGTCCTGGAGATTCATCGTCTTCTCGCCCGCCCTCGCCGCGGTGGTTGTCTTGTTGCCCTTACTCATTTCTTGCCCGGCCCCCATGGACGACTTCATAGTCATCTTCATCACCTTGCCACCGATAGCCATCCGTGAAACCACGCAAGAGTAGGTGGTCCCGCACCTGCCCGGAATCCGGGTCCGCAATAAGGCTCTTCAGCTTGCATCTTTGACATGGACATTGTCGGTGTCAAAACCGGCGGATCTCGGGTAGGGGGTCCCGAACTGTGCGTCTAGGCGGATGGTAACAGGAGACAAAGGACACGATGTTTTACCCAGGTTCGGGCCCTCTTGATGGAGGTAAAACCCTACGTCCTGCTCGATTGATATTGATGATCTGGGTATTACAAGAGTAGGTCTACCACGAGATCAAGGAGGCTAAACCCTAGAAGCTAGCCTATGGTATGATTATTGTTGTGTCCTACGGACTAAAACCATCCGGTTTATATAGACACCGGAGAGGGCTAGGGTTACACAAAGTCGATTACAATGGTAGGAGATCTACATATCCGTATCGCCAAGCTTGCCTTCCACGCCAAGGAAAGTCCCATCCGGACACGGGACGAAGTCTTCAATCTTGTATCTTCATAGTCTTGGAGTCCGACCGATGATGGTAGTTCGGCTATCCGGACACCCCCTAATCTGGGACTCCCTCAGACATCTTATCTCCGTCTCGTTTTTTTGAAGCATCTCGGCCTTCGCGGAGCTCAAAAACCTATTCACGATGCCTTCGGTCATCGTGTGGACCATGGTCGCCTGCGGGGTAGAGCAAAACGATATTTTAGAACCAAGAAAAAAATTTGGCATGACCTTCCCTAAAAATAGGACCAAAAAGAATGCATAGTGCCAAAAATCTTGCCGGAACGGAAATGAATCAACATTCCGACAAAATATTGGCAACTATCGCATTTCAAATACCGGTACCTGCAAACACAAACATATATGCAACATCACAAACATACATAGATCTAGCTAGGCCACAAAAAGTGCATGTGCACGTTGTTGGAGCGAGGCAAGGAGAAAAAAAGTAGATCTACAACATGAAGATAGCTTTCCCCTTACTTACCTATCAAAAAAAGGTAATTTCACCACTTAATTTTGATGAATCTATGGTGCAAATGAGGTGAGGAGGAGGAGGCAGTCGACAAGCTTGGAGAAGGAGGTGGAGGGAATGAAGTGGGGAAAGTGAGTGTGTAGGTGTGGTTGTCCAAAATATCTAGCTGGTCCACACAACATACTAATGGCGCACCACACAGACATGCGCCATTAGTAACACAACACACTAATGGCGCACCACATACCTGTAGGTTATTAGTAGTTTTGCCAAAAAGTAAATATATATATATATATATATATATATATATATATATACTAATAGCGCACCGTGGCACAGTGCGCCATTACTAGTTTAAACTAGTAAAGGCGCACTGTGCCACGGTGGCGCCATTAGTAGTTTTGCAAAAAAAAGAAGAATAAAAAAAAATACAATACTGACGCACTCTGTGGCTGGTGCCCCATTATTAGTTAGAACTAGTAATGGCGTACTTCGCTCGGATGCGCCATTAGTATGTTTGGAAAAATGAAAAAAAAATTGTTACTAGTGGCGCACCTAGTGTCACCAAATGGTGCGTTATTAGTATATAGTAGTGGCGCACCACTTCTCTGGTGCGTCATTAGTGTCAATTTCATCTATAGTCCTTTTTCTAGTAGTGAACACCACCACACTTGATGCCATTCCTTACTTGAGGAGAAGCTCCTTTAGGGTTGAGTATTGCATATTTTATAATTTTTGTGCCGAGAACCTGTGATTTGTAAAAAGTCTGTACGATTAATAGGAGACAAATAAAATCAATTAATCAATCAATCCTCTATAATACTAAGCTCCCTAGTTATAAAGAGCCCACATTCAATTGAGGTTTCCAATTAAAATTTGGTCACCCAATTTTGACCAAGTCAACAATGTCTCAAAGCTCTCATTTTCAATTCTTTTATACTATACACAATGCTTTCTAATTTTAAGGTCTCACAATTAATTGAGGTATTCAATTTAGAATTGGGTTAATCGATTTTGATCGGGTCAACACTTTCTTAAGCTCTCCCTTTCAATTATTTAATTCACTATTTTCCCTATTATTGAACCTCTTTCATTCAATTGAGGTATTCAATTTTTGATTTGATTTACGATTTTGATCGGGCCAACAATTTTTCAAACCAACCAGCAGCAACCGGCCTATAAAAACATATCAGTCCCACATATCCTCCCACCATCTAAAAAAGAAGCGCCTCCATGTGATATTGTACCACCAATATAGTAGTACATGCGACCGCCGACACCGAAATTTCCCCACATATAGGTTGGTTAGCGGATAACACAGAATCACACCACGAAAGGCCAACCGAATCACTGTGTTATAAATGAAAATAAAACACACGCTATCATCTCTCCCACCCGCCAAACTAAAATATTCCATCGGTTCCAAAATATAAGGGGTATTAGTTTTGTAGAAAGTCATTTTTCTTTAACTTTGACCAAGTTCAGAGGAAAACATTGACATCCATAATATTAAAACAAAAAGTATGGAAATCCATTTCATGATGAATTAAAAAAAATACCGATTTGATATTATGAATTTTGATAGATTTTTCTACAAATTTGATTAAACTTAAAATGATTGACTTCTCAAAAAAGTAATACACGTTAAATTTTAAAACAGAATGATTATTTTCTGAAGAAACCCAACAACACCAATGATGCAGCAAAACGCGCACAACCCTTCTTGTTTTTTATTAATCTTTGGCCCATAGGAAAGTTTCCTATGGTTTGGAATATTCTGGAGTACGAATGAATTATACAAAAAAGTTTCCTATGGTTTAAATGTTCTGAATAAAAAAAGATTAGAATCCTTAAATTTCTTTACAAAAAAACCCCAAAAATCCTAACAAAGTTGTAAGCAGAAAATCCATGTCCGTGTGATCGTAGTATTTTTTTTGGTTTGCACTTAATTAGTGTGGGTCGTAGTTGGTATGCTCAGCTCAATTTCGTCCCATAGAAAAACCACAGCCACGAATCAGAGGAAATCCGGCAGCGCCGCGTGTGCGAAGACGAGTCCAAACACGGAACAAAGCCGGCGATTAGCAGCACGCTGAGCCGGCATCTCGTGCTTCTCCGTCCATCTGCATCCACACCGGAGCGGGGAAGAAGAAGGCGACGAGTAGGCGATGGCGACCGAGTCGCCGTTCCGGGCGGACGTGCTGAGGGGCAAGGCGGCGCTGGTCACCGGCGGCGGCTCCGGCATCTGCTTCGAGATCGCCGCCCAGCTCGCCCGCCACGGCGCCCACGTCGCCATCATGGGCCGCCGCCGCGAGGTCCTCGACAAGGCCGTCGCCGCCCTCCGCTCCGAGGGCCTACGGGTGCGCCCAATCTGCTTTTCCCCTCCCCCCTCTTCCGCTCCAATCCTACCTACCACCATCGCGCATGTTTCACCCACCTTGGTTCCTTGCTTAGGATCTGGCGCTCTCTGGTTGTCAGGTGGAAATGCTTTTGATCTTTCATCCGTTCCTTATTAGCAGTTGCGTGATAAGTAAACAAGAACGGAAATCGCTCTGAATTTTGTACAAAACTTGTTGTTTTCTCATCTTGTTCATCGAATCCCATGGTAATCGAACCCAGTGGCAATCGAGTTCTTATAGGGAATTTTGTATAGAAATTGTTGTTTAGGAAATGAAGTCAACTTGCTATTTTCGCAAGTGAAGTGCTATATTAATCGGGTTGCACGGTGGACAATGATTTGTACTTCCATGTGTCGTTGAATTGTGAAACCAAATTCACAAAGAAAGATGTTCCCCACCATGATTAAATGAACTAGCCTCTTGTCCTCTGGGGATAAAGTAGTGCTGGTCTCTACTAATGCTAGCTTGGTGTGGCATGCAGGCTGTTGGATTTCAGGGAGATGTACGTAACCAGGAGGATGCAGCTAGGGTACTTGCGTCAACTGTCGAGCATTTCGGCAAGCTTGACATTCTTGTCAATGGTGCAGCGGGCAACTTCCTTGCATCCCCGGAGGATCTGACACCCAAGGGATTCCGAACAGGTGTTTCACTAAGCCATATGCTTCTGGTTGTTTCAATACCTGAGAGTTGCTGTTTCAATACCTGAGAGTTGCTGTTTGGTCCAATTGTGTGAATATTGGCAGCGCGACATTGCATGCTGTTTGAATATTAATGCGCCCTTGCTAGTTTGTGCAACTGTGCTAGGCTGCTGAGCTCAAGCATTTGTTGTGCTGATAACTTGCCTTTTATGAAACAAATAGCTCAACACTGAATATTTTTCTTTCAGAAAATTTAGTATTGACTAAATTTTCTCTCTGCAGTTCTTGAGATTGACACTGTGGGTACATACACAATGTGCTATGAAGCCCTGAAGTATCTGAAAAAAGGTGGGCCAGGGAGAGGTCCCTCCACTGGTGGCCTCATCATTAACATAAGCGCGACACTGCATTACACTGCTTCTTGGTACCAAATTCATGTCTCCGCCGCTAAGGTACTTTTATCATGTTTGATCCACTTCGAGAAAATGATTGAAATAGGCCACTTTTCCTCACGGTGTTGGCTTCTACAGGCAGGTGTTGATAGTATCACAAGAACGCTGGCTCTGGAATGGGGAACAGATTATGAAATTAGGGTCAATGGAATTGCACCAGGACCAATCGGCGGCACTCCAGGACTAAGGAAGCTTGCACCTGATGAAATGGGCAAGGGGAAAAGGGAAATGATGCCTTTATTTAAGTTGGGGGAGACACGGGATATAGCAATGGCCGCGCTCTATCTTGCTTCCGATGCAGGTCAGTTGTGTTCTCCAGCGTTCCTGTAACCAAATAACAGCAAATTCTTTCAACTGTAGAAGTTCAGTAAGCTAAGCATCCAATTACCTGGAGGTCATTTGAAAGATATTGCTATCACTAGCTTTATAAGATTAACATGCCCTGCTATACATGTATGCTATTTTAGCACAACTAATACTTTTTTGGCTTCCCAGGAACTGACTCATACTACAAAAACTTTAAAATCAGTAAATTAATGTCTTATCCTTTGTCAGAGAGTAATCCATTTGATGTATTCAACAATTTGTTGTGCAGGCAAATATGTAAATGGGACTACAATGGTGGTTGATGGAGGGCTTTGGTTGAGTCACCCTCGCCACATCCCCAAGGAGGAAGTGAAGGAGCTCTCAAAGGTGATCGAGAAGAAGGTTAGGGCCTCTGGTGTAGGTGTACCGTCCAGCAAGTTGTGATGACATCCTTGGTTTATGTCACTGTCTCATGTATGTCATATACCACACTTCAGTATTGTAGTCAGCCAGCAGCTCAGCACCAACTTTATTGTGTACGTGAATCTTGTAACCTGCTGAGCAGAATTGGTTTCAAATGAACAACTTCAATATTTACCTCTGTTGTTACTTTCAGATTGGCTAGAACCTGAAATATTCTGATTGATTTGTGATCCCGGCGTAAAATGATGCCCACTCCGAAAATTTCCCCATGATTTGTGTAGAATATACCTGATGAAAGTGTTATGTTTAATTGAGCCCAGAACAAAGTTATTTTTAGGGCAAAACTCGGGACAAATATGTCGAAATGGGCAGCATGAAGTTTTTCTTGAGAGAGAAGAGAACCTGTATGCGTAACGCAACCCATGATAACAACAACTATATTCCTTAGCAGGTGTGAACGTGGTTCGATCGTCCAAGAGAAACAAAAAGGGTAGCCCATAGCCATAGGGATGTGGCCAGACGCTGACAGGCCCCATGAGAAGGAGAGCATAATTTCTTTGCCTTGTGAGCCAGTGTGACGGGTGCCTGGAGCTCCCTTGGAAGTACACAGTTTTTAGCAAGGATATCTCTTCTGCCATCATGCTCTGCTGGCTCTCTCGATCACGACTCATGAATGAGCCCCCGTGCTTGGCAACGAAGTAAACTGGCATTCTTTTCCCTTGGACCTTGAAAAATGAAAATCACATTAAAATATGCTGAAATGCTCAATATCAGTGTGAGAACATGAAAATTTCTGTGAAATAATTACACAAGCAGTGTGAGCTTACACAGACGGGTGCCTTCCGATCATCTGCTATATTTTACCACTCATCATTTAACCATAGCAATGCTCCACGAAAGTGCATTTGCAATGGAGTAGTAGAAGTCACTGTCTCACTGAAACACCTTTGCAGAGAGATATCTGCAGATCATCTGCCATCTCTTAACACAAAATCTTAACCGATGACATTGGCAGGGGATATGTGTGTGTGTGTGTGTGTGTGTGACACATGCCATCATGCATTTGACCACGGCTGCATGCCTTTGCCTGGCATCCCAGTAGGTTAGGTGCAGTGTGGAGTGGACCAAGGGCCACCTTATGGAAAGCATTATTGCACCGAGTTATTCCCTGCCTTGGCCAGTTCTAGGTCGGTCTTCTTACAGGAGTAGCCTGGATGCAAGGCGCACCTCCCTTGCCATGTCCAGTAAGAGGCGGTTACCAGTCCACAGCACCCACATTTCCGGCCATCTGGTACCGTCTCCTATGCACACTGAAGCTCACACTTTGCACTTCATCAACTCGCATTATTAATCTTGTGCTGCATTGTTTGAGATGCTCGCCCTAATGGTGCTAATTTGAGGGCACAGGTAGCGCATTTTATGGATAGATGTCTGTGGGCTACAATAATGGTCTGTTTGTGCATGCTATCTGATTTGGGGCAATTACATTGCAGAGAGTTTAATTTGGCTACATTGCTTGATGTAATTGCTCTCTTTTCCTTAATGCATGAAATGTTTATTTGCTGTACCAGTATGTAGTGGGACAGCCTGACAGGAGATGACGAGAATATTAGTGGTCTTTGAGGCTTGAAACAAGAACTTTCCAGACTTATAAAAGGTTCCCCTGGCCCCTTTGCTCCCCCCCTCCATCTTCTGAAGAAGCACACGCAGTCCACAGGTAATGCCTCTCCTCTTTCGACTCCTACCTCTCTTGCTCTGCAGCACACACTCTCTGCAAGAACATGTCTTGCAAATGCTACTCTTTTACTCTTCACAGCATATAGTTTCTCATGTCTATGCATACAGTTTTCTCTGCCTCGTCTCATGCATTTGGAGCCATTTGATCTGCGTGGTGCTTGGATTCGACTTTAACATTGGAGCTTAGAAGTAGTTTCTTTTATGACATATCTTTGCTTCTGAACTCTTGCTTTTCAAACCATCTGCTTGATCTTACTTCCTGCACTTGAAGCCATTCGGTGCATCTCGACTCTGCATTTGAAGCCTTTTACTTGATTCTCATCTTGGATGAACGTAGGCATCATGATCTGACGAGCTCTTTCTGGTTTATTGCATAGGAGGAGAAGAGATCCACTGAGCTGCAGCAATGGGGCGTGGGAAAGTGGAGCTCAAGAAGATCGAGAACACGACGAGCCGCCAGGTCACCTTCTCCAAGAGGCGGATGGGCCTGCTCAAGAAGGCAAATGAGCTGGCCATTCTTTGCGACGCGCAGGTTGGGGTGATCGTATTCTCCGGCAGTGGCAAGATGTACGAGTACTCCAGCCCTCCATGGAGGTGAGTAAAACATCTCTGCACACCAGTTCAACCACTGCATGTTCTCTGCAATTTGATTCTCTGCTCCTCTTGGCTTGAGTGGATATGGATATTCTTGTTTAGGTCTCATAATGTTGTTCTAGAGTTGTCAGATTCAGTTAGTCTTGCAGTTTTTCTCAATGTGTACAGTTTTTTTTTTTGAATTTTTTGTTGGGAACTTCCAATTTCTGTTGTTGATAATCTGCACGTTTTAGTAATGAAGTCAAGATCAATTTAAAAGTATACGAAGAACCCACAACGATCAAGTATGCCCTGCCTGTTTCCTTTTCCTTTTTGTGTGTGGCAGGATTGCAAACACCAGTTTAACTACTGCATGTTCTCTGCAATTTGATTTTTATCTGCTCATCTTGGCTTGAGGGGAAATGGAAATTTTGGATACTGTTCAGGTCCCATAATGTTTGTTCTAGACTTGTCATGACGTTCTTTTGTATGTACAGTTAGTCTTGTGCAGTTTTCCTCAATGTGTATACTTCCTGTTGAACTTTTTGTTGGGAACTTCCAACTTTTGTTGTTGATAATCCGCACGTTTTAGTAATGAAGTCAAGATCAATTTAAAAGTATACGAGGAACCGATGATGATCAACTAAGCCCTGACTGTTTTTCGTTCTCCTTTTTGTGTGTGGCAGGATTGCAAACATCTTTGACAGATACCTGAAAGCCCCCAGCACCCGTTTTGATGAGATGGACGTCCAGCAGGTACACCAGTTTAGGCTAAATCAATTAATAACATTGTTAAATTTTACTGGTTTTAGCTAATAATCTTGCTTTCTTTTTGATGAAGAAAATCATCCATGAGATGACACGGATGAAGGATGAGAGCAACAGGCTGAAGATCATCATGAGGCAGTACATGGGTGAGGACCTGGGTTCTCTGACCCTGCAAGACGTGAGCAATCTTGAGCAGCAGATCGAGTTCTCGCTGTACAAGGTTCGCCTTAGGAAGGTAACCACCCTGCAACACGATGCAACAGTTCTAGGTTCTTTTACTCCATGAATGGAACTCTACATTCCTCTGTGCCCAGTGCTAATGACCTGATTTAACTTGTTGCAGCAACAGCTGCTTGACCAGCAGCTGCTCGAGATGCGCCAGAGGGTATGCGAAACAAGATGCATTGATTTGTCCGGCATTCCTGTCATCCTTTATCACACCCTTTTTCTTTTCTTTTCTTTTTGCAAATAGTTGATTTTTGATGGAGTTTTGTGGATTTCATTCTGACAGGAGATGCACATGTCAGAGGACCAGAGCAGCAGCTACATGTTCCACATGGTAACACATCTCAGCTTAATTTCTCCTTGTCAGGTGATTTTGTGCTGCCGTTTATTCACCCTTGATGAATTTGCTTGTGTCTGTGAAAAAGAATCCGGCGAGGGATCAGCCGGGCCAGTCGGCCGACGTGATGAACCCGAAGCTGTTCCCCCTGTGGGACGTCGGCGACCAGATCTACGGGCAGGACGCCGAGTCCTCCATGACTGCTCTCAAGCTCTCGCCGCAGCTGCAGGAGTACAAGCTCCAGCCGGTGCAGCCCAACCTGCAGGAGGGCAACCTCCATGGCTACGTCCTTCGCCTCTGGTAAGCATCGTACGCGGGGCATCATTGATATCCGTGGGCAAGTTCGTCTGACCTGACCAGTTGCATCCGTCTCTGCCTGCAGATCTCAGGACATGCACCATGGACCTGACAGACACTACTGATGGAGGATGATGAGCAGAGCTTCCCTGTCTGAATCTGCTCTGGAACGGTGTTCTAATCAGCTTACATTATCTTACTGCGTTATGTGGGGTATTAACTGCTATTGCGTTTGCTAGATTACGTTTCATGATGCTTGTAAATGAGGAGTGTGCCACCTGATTTGTGCACCTTGAGGAACTACTACCTCTGTTTCTGTCAAGAAGATGTGTTGTGAGTTGTGACCCGGAGGGGTTATGCCTTGCATTGCTGTTCCCAAAGAAATTTGTGGCAAGTACTACTCTATATCATGATGCCTATTTGCTTTTGTGATGCACACTGCGATTGCTGCATTCTTTTGTGTGGAGACATCATGTGAAATTCGGAGAATTGCACTCAAACTACAGCGTGAAAAAGAAATATAATCTTGTGGATCTTGGACTGACGCGCCACTTAGCCACTGGTTTTGCAATTGCTTGTAAAAACCGCAAAACCTTTTGATGACATCTTGAATGTTGTACAATCGATGGTTGAACAACTTCAGATTGCGCACTTTTGCTCGTGAAACAGATTATGCACGCTTTGTCAAAATGTTGTGCCCTTTTGCTCCGTGCCCTGAAACGGATCGATACTAGTGGCCAACCACGCCTCACATAACAATTCATCCTCCTTTGGAGAGAAATTCAGTCTCCTCTTCTTCTTTGGGTCAGCACGCGACGGTCAGTGCTCATATGGATTCTTGCCTGTTGTTGGATGCACGGCTGTTCGTGTCCTGCTACGGCTATTCCTCTGACTAGGAGTCCTCCACTTGTCCGTCTTCGTAGCCCCCTCAACATGGATAACGTTCATTATCTCCCCATCCTCTACTGCCGTCCCGCTTAGATAAGCATTCCGGCAAATAGTGACCGAGCACAGACGGACGAGCATTCCACACCCGACATCCATGACCGGACAAGCCCCGGCGAATGCGACTCTGTGAATCGTAGTCGATGTTGATGTCGACGGTGAATGAGACTCGATAGCCGAAGGTAAAGGAGGGCGCATACTGCTGCAACGATTGTTGCAGACCAAGGTGCTGAGAGGCATAATGTATGGCGGCTTCAGCTGGGACAACCACGACGGTGATTGCCTGAGAGGCACCAGTGTGGCGGTGTGCTTTGTCCGACGAGGCCCGCCCTGACCAACTGCGTGCACATCCCCCCGCCTTCTTCTTCACCTCGTGGCGGCGGGCCGAAAGACAAAGATCAATCACCAAAGATTGCGTACTTCAACTTAAATATCATTTTCTTCTAAAAAGTTTGTTTAGTGTTCATGAGAATATGATGCTGGCTAAGTCAAATATGTCTGTATTACTAAGAAATGAACGACCTATCATGGACGAGAGGGACAACCCTTAGAGCATTAACCAACATGGAGATGGCAATAGCATAGGAGGAATAAATATAGCATTTTGAGTGGATATTTCAAGACTTTAAGGCCGCTATAATGACACATGAATAAATGGATAAAATATACTCCATCTGTCTCAAAATAAGTATCTCAAACTCAGTACAACTTGAGACGGAGGGAGTACATGATATGACTTCATAAACTGTCCATAACCATCTATAGGTGATGCACCATCTCATTTTCGAGCTAGGTCCATGTATTTTTTAAATAAAAGGCCATAGGTTTTTTTAGAGTCTATACATAAGGAGGAAACCAACCTAGGGTTGAGCCCCCCCCCCTCCTTGGGGTGACTGAATCCACCCCCTCTGCCTCTCCTTAAATATCCCCCTTAGAGCTTTGTCTTAGGGTTAAATTTAGTTAGCTAAAAGTTAGATGCCGATGTAACTTCATATACTTCATTTGTGTCCAACAATCAGGCCTCTGTATTATCTCTTCGAGATATCAGTACTTCATCTATATCCGCAATATTTAGATCGCATGTCATAGTTATTCTTTCTTCTCAATTGCTTGCAGGGACTAGTCCTTCGTGGTCAGGTTTATCGTATGTCTGACATCGTTAGGAACCAGGATCTTGGTTTAACGATCGCGCAGTCACAAATTCATCGCACATCATAGTTGGATCGTCGAAGTCATTCATTGCCAAAATCAATGAAATGTTTCTAATTGAATGATCGAGAGACCTGAGGTGCTATCAAAAGGTTTAACTGGTAGCGACATGCCAGGCCAACAACATAATTCAGGTTAGTTGGCTTCTTTGGGATGTCTTTTCTTTTATCCTCATAATCCACGTGACAAATGAAACTTTTCAGTTGTACTATACCCTTGCTTGTCCATTTGAATGCATAATGCATGGAATGGTAATGGGTGACTGGAACAACAATAAAGTTGATTGTATTGACATAGTTGGCAACTTAGAGAACAACTGACAATGTTTCATAACCCAATCCCTACATAGAGGTTGAGCTTATTTTGAACATGCAATGCATTATGCATGCAACAGAGACGACAACAGAAGTTGAAACTTACACAAAGGAAATTACAACCTTACAAGCTGGTATATCATGTCTAATTTACTCCTCCTTTCGAGCCCCCTCCCGTCGCGTAAGCACAGCGAGGTGAGCACGCAACGGGTGCTTCATGACAGTGAAGAACCCGAAATGCGGGCGGAGATCGACAGCTAGCTCCCCCTTCGCCTCCCTCCATTCAAACTCCCTCACGAGGTTGGCCGTGAAGTATCCCATGTGGAGCATGGCGACGGCCATGCCGGGGCACACCCTTCGGCCGGCATCGAACGGTATCATCCTGATCTCCCCACCGCTTCCAGCGGCTGCAACAAGGCTGATGCTTTCCCCACCTTTGTCGGCTAGGAACCGTTCTGGCTTGAACTCATCTGGGTTGACCCACGTCGCCTTGTCTTGCGCCAGAGATTTCAGCGGGAAGAGCACATTGGTGCCCGTCGGAATACGCTGGCCATCATGAATGATGTCGTCTTGTTCCGACACCTTGTGTGCAGCAGAAATTACATTCATGTCCTCTATTAGTTTTTTCATCTAATTTGTAGTACTTTCCTTATTTTTTGCTTACTCTCCATATTAGCTTTGATTAAAGTCAAACTTTATAAAGTTTGACCCAGTTTATAATAAGTAATATGAACGTTAAGATAACAAATTGATATGATTGAAAACATATTCAACTATGAATTCTAATGATATTGATTTGGTGGTTTATATGTTAATATTTTTTCCATAAATTTGGTCAAAACTTATGAAGTTTGACTTTAGAAAAGCTAATTAGGGAAGGGAGTATGTCTCAGGGATGTCAGCATGCAGTCCGTTGCTTAATTACCTGCCTAAACACCAAGGTCGCGGTGGGGTACAGCCGGAGCACCTCCATGACGACGGCGTTGAGGTACTCTAGCTTCCAAGAACCTCCTCGCCCACCTCCTCGGCGTCCTCGTCAACAGCAGCGTTGATCTCCCTACGGACAGCCTCTTGCATGTGTGGGCGCTTCACCAGGTTCGCCATGATCCACTGCAGCGCCGCGGCCACAGTTTCAGTTCCTGCACCAAGGAACTCGGAGCACATGCCCACGAGCTCGCCGTCGGTGAGCCTACGCGGCCTCCTGCGTTTGTTGTGGTCGTCCGGGACCCGGAGGTCAATGAGCGTGTCCACATACGCCGGCGTTTCGCCAGATTTGCGTTGCCGGCTGCGGCGGGCGTGGATGAGCGGGAGGTACATCTCCTCCTGCTTCCGCCGCAGCGCCACTAGCTTGCTCCACCGTTGGCGGTGGATCAACCTAGCCGCCGCCGGCAACTTCGCGAAGACGCGCAGCTCAGGGAAGAACTGGACGAGGTCGTGCTGGGCGTCGGCCATCGCGCGGATGAGGTCCGCGTCGACGCCGTCGCCGAAGCACATGGTCGTGAGCAGGCCGAACATGGCGGTGCGGATGCTCTCCGCCGCGAGGACTAGGCCGTCGGGGCTGGACGTGCACTGATTTTTGAGGTCCGCGAAGAGATCGCAGAGCGCGTCGCGGCGGGCGGCGGCGTAGCGGTGGAGGCGCAGTGGGTGGAGAACCTCCGAGGTGAGGTTGCGGCGCGTGACGCGCCAGAACGGGCCGTATGGAGCCGATGTTAGGTTGTGGTAGCGGCGGTGCGAGAGGACGGCGCTTGGCGCCATGGATGGCGGGCGGTTGGAGAAGGAGCCGCCGACGCAGCCACGGACGAGAAGGCGGTGCGCTGTCGCGCGGTCCCTGATGACGATGGCTGGCTGCCGGAGCCAGCCCGCGAAAGTCGACTTGACGCTGGTGGCGAGGCGCGTGTAGACCGCCTTGCTCGATGCATGCCCATGCCGCCGGACGGCCATGGCGACGAGGAGGAGCATCAAGCTCAAGATGAGAATGAGTAGGTCTTGCATGGCTGATGTCCTGAGCTGCGGCTGTCTGTCTATGTGTGTGTGACTGTGTGTCACCCTCCTATTTGTAAGGCCCTGTGGAGATTAACCCTGATTGATTGCACAAGCCTTCCTACTGATGCCAATAATTCCAGACTTAGGACAATAGTGTTACAGAGATTAACACTTTGCTTCATGTTTCTCATGGTAATGTATGTTTTTTTCTCGCCCTCTGTCACATAATATAAGAGCATTTTTGGCACTATACTAGTATAAAAAACGCTCCTATATTATGGGACGAAGCGAGTATTCATCAACTATCAAGGTAGTACATAGAATAGTAGAAGTAAAATTTACATCCAGATCCGTAGACCACCTAGCGACGGCCAAGCACTCGAGCGAGCCCAAGGCGCGTCGCCATCATCTCCCCTTCATCGTCAGAGTTGGACAAACATTATTGTAGTAGACAGTCGGAAAGTCATCGTGCTAAGTCCCTATACAACCAGCACACCAAAGCAGCAGCCGCCGTTGATCAAGAGAAATATAGATCGGAAGGATCCAACCTTCAGACACACAGGCATAGATGAACGAAAATCGGATTCAGTCGGATCCACGGAAGACAAACGTCGACCGGATCCTATGTTTACCTAGGTAAGTAGGATTAGGATTGCCACTCCTATACGGATGCATACCGAGCTTAACACTAATTAACAGTCCCTTTGTTAACTCTATAAAGTGTGGCACGCTAAGCACGCGTTTTTGTTCTCTAGTGATATATATTGTACATGTAGATTGTGGTCGGCCTCAAGCACATCATCATACTATACATATAGTTATGTTTCTTCTCAGCGACAGATGAACGAACCCACATATCACACACCATATCTAGCTTGGAATGAATTGCAGATCAGACGGCTTAGAGGAAGTGTGCTGGCCAGTGATCATCATCGCACCCATGGCTTTGTGTTTAAGGGACAAGTTTTTCTTTAATTGGATAAAGCCACTTTCCAACTGTCTACTACACCGAAGTTTGCCCGGCTCCCATGAGGAAGGGGCGATGACGGTAGCACGTCTTCGAGTCGCTCTAGTGATTATAGTCGTCGCTAGGTGATCTACGAACGTGGACGTAATTTTTACTTCCAGTATCCTAGTATGTCCTATCTTAACAGTTGATGTATAGATTAGATTAAAAGTTTTCCCCAAAGAAAAAAAAGTCACTTCCTCATCATCTCGCGCACGCTGCATTGGCTGATGGAGAACCATTGATTGCGCGGGACTTGCTACTGAAGACTCCATCACGCTCTGTGCTCTTCTGTTCATTTTAACCCTGCTTTAGCTTTCCATGCACAGTACACGCTGCACATGTCATGTCAATCACGAGTACGAGAATTGTGTGGTGATTATCTACAGAAAATTTTAGTGGTGGGCCACTGTGCAGGTCGTCTTTCTTGTCTTCAGAGCATCTACAACTGGACGCCTCAAACCTGCTTTCCAAATTGCACCAAATCCATCCCCAGGACCAGCCTGGTCCATTTGCTATCTCCTCTCTTCTTCCTCCTCCGCGCTGTCCGTCTCGTGCTCCGCAGCCGTTCCCCGACTCTCCGCCGGAAGAGCAGTCCTCTCTCCCCTCCTCCTCGCCGTCGTCGGCCCGGATGCCACCGTGGTACGTCCGGCAACTGTCTGACTCCGCCTTGCACTTGATGTGTTCGACACATTGTCCGACCATTTAAAAAAATTGTTAGGGAAAACAATGGATTCCGATGCTTCGTTCGACGAGGAGTATGGACCGACGGACGGAGTTTGACCAATTGATTCAAGATGAATTCTTTGATTCATCGAATTCGGACGAAGAAGTAGAAATGATTATGCTCATGAGCATGTAAGAGAAATGGACCGGCAAATGGAGCATATTCTTAAATTCAAGGGCTCAATCAAATGGGAGAAGAGTGATCAACCGGAATAGAGTGTCCCGAGAAAAGCTACTGCACATGGACTACTCTGCTCCCAAACCTACTTTCCCGGACGATCCATGGTTTTGTCGCCGTTTTCGCATGCGGAAACCATTGTTTTTATGCATTGTGGAGGGAGTGGAGGCACACGACGTCTACTTGAAGCTCACAAGGGATTACTGCGGCTAACTCTCTTTCTCGGCCAAGCAGAAGTGCACGACTGCTCTGAGGATGCTTGCACTTGGTACTGCTGCAGATGTCATTGATGAGATGGTCAGGATGAGGGAGAGCACGTGTTTGAAGACTACTGTCAAGTTTGCCGGCGCCGTGGTGGAGGTTTTTGGACCTGAGTATCTTAGATAAGCAAATGCGCAGGACACGGCAAAGTTATTGGCTATTGGAGAGGCAAGGGGGTTTCCAGGAATGCTCGGATCAATTGATTGCATCCATTGGTAATGGATGAACTGTCTCAAAGATTTGCGGGAATGTATCAAGGTCACATTAGAGAGGCCACCATCATACTAGAAGCGGTGGCATCACATGACTTGCGGATTTGTCATGCTTTCTTTGAAACGCCGGGTTATCACAACGATATCAACATGCTTCAAGGATCTCCGGTGTTCAGGAGGCTTTGCAATGGAAAATCATTGCCATGCAACTACACCGTCAACGGCCGATAGTACAACATGGGATACTTGTTGGGAAACGTAGTAATTTCAAAAAAATTCCTACGCACACGCAAGATCATGGTGATGCATAGCAACGAGAGGGGAGAGTGTGTCCACGTACCCTCGTAGACCGAAAGCGAAAGCGTTATGACAACGCGGTTGATGTAGTCGTACGTCTTCACGATCCGACCGATCCAAGTACCGAACGTACGGCACCTCCGAGTTCAGCACTCGTTCAGCTCGATGACGATCCCCGGACTCCGATCCAGCAGGGTGTCGGGGATGAGTTCTGTCAGCACGATGGCGTGGTGACGATGATGATGTTCTACCGACGCAGGGCTTTGCCTAAGCACCGCTACGATATGACCGAGGTGGAATATGGTGGAGGGGGGCACCGCACACGGCTAAGGAACGATCATGAAGATCAACTTATGTGTCTAGAGGTGCTCCCTGTCGCCGTATATAAAGGAGCAAGGGAGGAGGCCAGCCGGCCCTAGGGGGCGCGCCAAGGAGGGGGGAGTCCTCCTCCTAGTGGGAGTAGGACTCCCCTTTCCTAGTCCAACTAGGAAGGAGGAAGGGGGAAGGAAAGAGAGGAAGAGGGAGAGGGAAAGAGGGGCCGCGCCCCCTCCCCTTGTCCAATTCGGACTCCCCATGGGAGGGGGCGCGCCACCTCCTGGGCTGCTGCCCTCTCTCTCCCCTCAGGCCCACTAAGGCCCAATACTTCCCCGGGGGGTTCTGGTAACCCCTCCGGCACTCCGGTTTTCTCCGAAATCATCCGGAACACTTCCGTGTCCGAATATAGTCGTCCAATATATCAATCTTTATGTCTCGACCATTTCGAGACTCCTCGTTATGTCCGTGATCACATCTGGGACTCTGAAAAACCTTCGGTACATCAAAACTTATAAACTCATAATAAAACTGTCATCGTAACGTTAAGCGTGCGGACCCTACGGGTTCGAGAACTATGTAGACATGACCTAGAACTGTTTCCGGTCAATAACCAATAGCAGAACCTGGATGCTCATATTGGCTCCTACATATTCTACGAAGATCTTTATCGGTTAAACCGCATAACAACATACATTGTTCCCTTTGTCATCGGTATGTTACTTGCCCGAGATTCGATCATCGGTATCCAATACCTAGTTCAATCTCGTACCGGTAAGTCTGTTTACTTGTTACGTAATGCATCATTCCGTAACCAACTCATTGGCCATATTGCTTGCAAGGCTTATAGTGATGTGCATTATCGAGAGGGCCCAGAGATACCTCTCCGACAATCGGAGTGACAAAACCTAATCTCGAAATACGCCAACTCAACATGTACCTTTGGAGACACCTGTAGAGCTCCTTTATAATCACCCAGTTACGTTGTGACGTTTGGTAGCACACAAAGTGTTCCTCAGGTAAACGGGAGTTGCATAATCTCATAGTTGTAGGAACTTTGTATAAGTCATGAAGAAAGCAATAGCAACATACTAAACGATCAAGTGCTAGGCTAACGAAATGGGTCAAGTCAATCACATCATTCTCCTAATGATGTGATCTTGTTAATCAAATGACAACACATGTCTATGGTTAGGAAACATAACCATCTTTGATTAATGAGCTAGTCAAGTAGAGGCACACTAGTGACATTATGTTTGTCTATGTATTCACACATGTATTATGTTCCCGGTTAATACAATTCTAGCATGAATAATAAACATTTATCATGATATGAGGAAATAAATAATAACTTTATTATTGCCTCTAGGGCATATTCCTTCAGCCTCCCACTTGCACTAGAGTCAATAATCTAGATTACACAGTAATGATTCTAACACCCATTGAGTCTTGGTGCTGATCATGTTTTGCTCGTGGAAGAGGCTTAATCAACGGGTGTGCAACATTCAGATCCGTATGTATCTTGCAAATCTCTATGTCTCCCACCTGGACTTGATCCCGGATGGAATTGAAGCGTCTCTTGATGTGCTTGGTCCTCTTGTGAAACCTGGATTCCTTTGCCAAGGCAATTGCACCAGTATTGTCACTGAAGATCTTCATTGGTCCCGATGCACTAGGTATGACACCTAGATCGGAAATGAACTCCTTCATCCAGACTCCTTCATTTGCTGCTTCTGAAGCAGCTATGTACTCCGCTTCGCATGTAGATCCCGCCACGACGCTTTGTTTAGAATTGCACCAACTTACAGCTCCACCGTTTAATAAAAACACATATCCGGTTTGCGATTTCGAATCGTTCGGAACAGTGTCAAAGCTTGCATTAATGTAACCATTTACGACTAGCTCTTTGTCACCTCCATAAACGGGAAACATATCCTTAGTCCTTTTCAGGTATTTCAGAATGTTCTTGACCGCTGTCCAGTGATCCACTCCTGGATTACTTTGGTACCTACCTGCC